ATGGAAGAAAGTTCAGGTAGTGTTTTCCCGTAAAGATTTACCTCCTCAGAAACCTGGTGGAATCGCTCTACTCTGTCCTATAGAGTTGCTATGAGTTGGAATTGACTCAGTGACTGTTAGCTGTTGTTGCTAGTACATAAAAACACAACGGAGTTCTACAGATTTACCTTGGGTCCAGGGGCCTTACTAAATTTACTTATTAACGCTAACAGTTTCAAGATTCTTTTCAATTTTCTCATACGTCAATTAGATCAACTTGCACAATTGTATTGTTTAAATCATCTAAATCCTTACTGCTCTTTTTGGTCTGCTTGTTCTATCAGTTATTGCGAGTTGTGTTAAAAATTCTAACTGTAATTGTAGGTTTGCCTATTAGTTCTTTTCACTGTCACCTTTTACATTGTATATTTTAAAGCTGTAAGTGCATATACATTTAGGACTGCTTTATCTTTATGTTGAATTCACCCTTTTACCATTATAAAACATCCCTCTTTATTTCAGGTAAAACGTCTTTACTTACCGTCTACTTTGTCTGAAATGAACTGTGGTGTAGTGGTTTATTTGATATGGGTCTTTTAGCTATAGTTTTTGTAACCCCCATCACATGACTGGGTGACACCATTCAGACTGAGTATGTTTCCTCTTTTCCTGATGGGTTTGGGTAAGAGAAGGTGAGGAAAGATGCTGATAACATTATATGATTCGGCTGTAACTGATGGTTAACAGGATTAATTGTGATTGTAAAAAGTTGGAACTCAAATGTGGGAATTGGTCAATTTTGTCATTGTGCTGGATCTAAAATGAGCTATCTCTGAAACAGGAACAAGGGGAGTCTTAACTCCATCAAAAATGAAGAGTCAGGAGCAGAGGGCATCCTTTGGACCCTGAGATCTCTGCATATGAAACTTCCTTAATCTAGGAGACAGACAGCACTGTGACACCACAGGAATGGTGAAGCCGCAGGAGCAGAACTAAGAGCCAGAGCAGGAGACAGAGCGGCGGGCTTCCCAGCCCATGGGATGAATAAAGCTGCGTGCCTTTGGGCAAGTGGCTCACCTGTGAAGTAGTGTGCCACCAGCACATAATTGGGGAAACTACATTTGCTGGGCCCTGGAGCTCGAGCCAAGAACCTTCAGGTGAAGGCTTATGGAGGAGTGGAGTGCCCTTTGGACATTTATAAAGAAGCTTTATAGCATTGCCCGAGCAAGGCAGAGGCCAAGAGGCTATGTAGCTGGACCAGAAAGAGGTGTGCATACAGACATGGCTGTCCTGACCAAAGAACTGTATTCTGGGCGTTTCTGATCCTGAATTGTAACCTGTTAACTTCCCTAATAAATCCCATAATCATGAGTATTGTCTGTGAGTTCTGTGTGTCCACTGCAATGAATTATTGAGCCAGCAGAGAAGGAGAGAGTGCTTTGGCAGGGATAGTTGGTGTCAGAATTGGTAAAGGAAGTTAGTGGGTGGAGGCATGTCTGACCTCTGCCTCATAGCAATCGGCCTTGATCTGATGTTGAGTTTGATTCTCCTTCCCTTTTGTGAAGTCAGAGGGCGCCAGACACTGCCTGCATGCCATTTTTACATTAATATAACCACAACAGCTTCCTTTTGGTTAGTATATGTTTTCCTATCCTTTGATTTCAACTGATTTTGTGTTCTTAGAATTAAATATAATAATATATTTGGTTTTAAAAATGAAATACGCCAATAAAAAATTTGACAACTTTTTATTGGAGTATTTACTCCATTCATGAGCTTTTGTAGTTACTGATAATGTTGTTGTATGCCACCGATTCGATTCCGACTTATAACAACTTTATAGGACACAGCAGACCTGCTCTTAGACTGTCATCTTTACCCGAGCAGATGGCCAGCTCTTTGCTCCCAAGGAGCTGCTGGGTAGGTGTGAACCATCAAGCACTTAACTATTGCATCACCAAACCCAGTACCAGCCAGTTGATTCTAACACACAGCAGCCGTGTCGGATAGAGTAGGACTACTCCATAGGGATTCTGTGGTTGTAAATCTTTATGAAGTAGATTGCCTCAGCTTTCTCTCTCGGAGTGGCTGGTGGGTTTGAATCACTGACCTTGCAGTTACCAGGCCAATGCTTAACTCCCAGCACTGCCTGGGCTCCTTTGCATCACACCAGGGCTCCTTAATTATTGATATAGTAGGCTATAGAACTGCCAGCTGGCTTTTTGTTATTTATTTGTCCCAGAATGTGTGTGTGTGTGTTCCTTCTTTCTTATCTTTTGTTGGATTAGTCAAGTATTTTATATTATTTCATTGCTCCTACATTTTGACTTGTATTTTCTTTTTGAAATGATACTTTATTGTGCTTTGGTTAAAGCAAATTAGGTTTTCATTGAACATTAAGCAACTTACTCATTTTCACTGTGTCAAGATTCTCATTGATTCCACTCTGAAGGATTCATTTCCACTGATCTTGTTTCCCTGCCCCCTTAGAGTAATTGTTAAGCACTGGTCTCAGAGAGACGACTTTTTACAGCTATACATATGCACTCACTGGTACTATTTTTTAATTTGATGAACCAATCTGTTATTTAGCCAAACTTCCGTATTTTAAAAATCATTCTTTTCATATATTTATATATTTAAAGGAGAATCTCAGAGCGAACAATGTTTCACCTAGAGAATAAATATAGGGGACTTTGGAGCATGTGGCACTTACAAAGGTCAGGGGTGTACACATCCATTAGTTTCAAAGCCCACTGTATCCTCAGAACATACAGTATTTCATACAATAACAGTGACAGTAATAAAAACAATATAATACCACTAGACCCACTGTCACTGAGTTAATTTCCACTAAATTTATAACATCAACTGTGGTCCATACACAATTATCAACTTAAAAATTAGTCCGCTATATTTGGTCAAACAAGTAATTAATTCACCCCTCTGGTAGTGTAGTGGTTACGAATCGGGCTGTGAATCGCAAGCTCAGCAGTTCGAAACTACCAGCTGTTCCGCAGGAGAAAGATGAGGCTTTCTGCTCCCATAAAGATTTACAGCCTCGGAAACCCTGTAGAGGGTTGCTATGAATCGGAACCGACTCCATGGCACATAACAACAACAACAACAATGTAAACCGAAAAGAGCTCTGGTAGCATAGCGGTTACGAATTGGACTGTGAACATCAAGGTCAGCAGTTCGAAACGACCAGCTGTTCTGCGGGAGAAATATGAGGCTCTCTCCTCCTGTAAAGATTTACAGCTTTAGAAACCCTGTACAGGGTCACTATGAGTCAGAACCAACTCCATGGTACATAAAAAAAAAAAAATGTAAACTGACTCCATAATCAGCACATAATCACCACCACCAATGTGATGGCTACTGGTGTGAGGCTGAAGGTTAACGCACTGGATTGTAAAGGTTGGTTAGAACCACAAGGTTGGCAGTTCAAGTTCACCAGCCACTCCTCGGAAACCCTATGCAGGGTCGCTATGAGTCAGAACCGACTCGGCTCGATGGCACTTAATAACAACAACAACGTGACAGCTGGAACCGCCATTGCCTTGGCAAGGCCAGACCACTCCTGCTATATAGGGTTCTCGAGATTGCAAATCCTTATGGGAGCAGACAGCATCTTTCTTCTGCAGCCCAGCTGTTGGGTTTGATCCACCAACTTATGGTTATCAGCTCAAGACATAACCCACAACGCCACCAGGGCTCCTTAACAATATAATACCTAACACTTATATCTGCTCTTATAATATGCAGTTTACAAGTATTAACTAATTTAATTATGAACATAAGTGCAGACAAACATTGACGCAGGCACATTTGGTTCAATACTTTGTGTCTCTCAGGTCTCTAGCCTCTCCAAATACCACTTGAAGTCCACTCCTCACATTTTGACTTCTCCTTTACCCCCCAGAATAGGCTCGGAATCTATCCAACTCCCCATTTCCCACTAAACACGGTCTAGCTCATGGATGCTGTAGGTCCCTGCCTCTTGTTATCTTTGCGATGACCTGCACCATACTTACTCTCAGCTATAGCCCACTGTGTACATAACCTCCAACCCCAAAGAGTATACGCCACTGCGTGCCCAGCTCCTAACCGTCCTTGTTGTTGTTGTTATATGCTGTGGAGTCGGTTCCAACTCATAGTGACCCTGCACAGGGTTTCCGAGGCTGTAAATCTTTATGGGAGTAGAACCGTCCTTGGCACAAGGTAAATGCTCAGTAAATATTTGTTGAATGCGTGAAGTCCACAGGAAAGAATGAAGAACGGATGGTCTTGTAATTATATAAACACAGTTATCCAGGTGAAGTCATTAAGATTCCTCCCCACGAGGAGCACCAGCCACCTTTCCATCCCTAACATCTCTCCCTCAAGCCTGCTTGAGTTGGTCCTGAGGGGGAGGGGAAATGGCAGAGCAAAAGTAAAACCTTCCCTTGGCACATCCTCGCCAGCCTCCTTATTGGTGTCACAGAAACGCCCCCGCCCTGCTTTGGTCATACACACATACCTACCACCACCCCCGCCTCACCCCGTGATTGGGTATCAAAGGTGATAAAGACAGGTGGACATCGGGAGTGGGTTTGCATCCTCTCTTTCTTTACCTTGCTCTCCCTCTCAGCATCCTGATTCACCTCCATCACTCTCCTTCCCGGCTACAGCACACAGATGCTGCCCAGATTCGTGCCCCGTAACTTGCCCGAACGAACAGAGCCGGTGAGGATGCTCTCAGCCGACTGAGAAACGCTGCCCCTCCCACCCACAGAGTCACCTGAAGTCCGGATGGCTCCCTCCCACCACCACCAACCGCGCCTTTTGATTGGGTGCCAGCTCTATTGTTAGTGATTCCATTGGCTGCAATGCCTGTCGTTCTCATGTACAGACACCACCTCCCCTTCCCCCAGCTTTTAAGGTGGAGCGCAGACTGCTAGGTTTAGGCGACAGCGCGGGGATAGAGTCAGGGGTTTGGGGGTCGCAGAGGTCTTGGGCCGTGTCTCCCCCAAACTCACAGCCTCTAAAAGGCGGGCACCCCCGGCAGGCTCCCGCGCGTCTTCGCTCCGGGTCCCGCCTCCCAACGGCCTCGAGTGACCCGCGCATGCGCGCTGGCCGGGTCTCGCGCACACCGGGAGGTGGGCGGTGCGGCAGGGCAGGGGCCTGGGTGGAAGGGTTGGGAGGGAACGCATGGGGAGGGGCGGGACGGTAGGGGGCGAGGACCAGGGGCCATGTCTGTGGAGAAGGGCGTTCCTTTAGGCTTTCAGGATTGGGGTGTGAGGGAGCCGAGGGGTAAGGCGCACTCCAAGAGGCGTCGCAAGACCCGTGGCCAGGCCCGGAGCCATGGTTCCCTGCTACTCGAGCCGGGCTGCAAGGGGTCGCCGATGCCGCGAGAAAAACTGTGGAGGCCCTGGGCCGGGTTCATGGTGATCGGGAAGAGAATGGAACTCCTGGGTAGGAACACGAATAAGCCTAAGTCGGGGGACCAGCATGGTTATTGGAGAGTGGACATGATAGAAAGCACTGACTACAGAGAGAAACCGGGCCTGAATCAGGGAAAGCTGGATTTGAACCTGCTGCAAAGTCTATCAAGTACATGGCAGGCTTCCGGGGGCGTGGGGAAAGGCAGCGCCAGGGAGGTCTGGGGAGAGACCAAAGAAGTCGTCCTATCTGAGACTACAGCTGGGTCTAGGAGGGGGTCTGGCTTTGAAGAGAGGTCCATTAGGGAGAAGACAGAGACCCAAGGAGAAGGGCTGCAGGCCAGTGAAAAGGATTTGAGAAACAAAGGCTATAGACTGAGGTGGAATGTGATGGAGCCCAGACCCAGTGCAGAGAAGCAGGGGGTGGGCAGGGAACAGAAAATGAGACTCAGTGATCTGGAGACCAGGGGGGAGAGCTTGAGATCCAGAGAAGATAAACTGGGGTCCTGGAATAGGAAGGAGCCAAGACCCAGTGCAGAAACACTGGGGAGCAGTGCAGAGAGGAGGGGCTCCAGCACAGAGAAGCCGGACACCAGTACAGAGAAAAGGGAATCCAGTGCAGAGAAGCAGGGATCCAGTGCAGAGAAACTGGACACTAGTGCAGAGAGGAGGGGACCCAGGGGAGAGAAATTGCAATCAGATGGAGAGAAGCTGGGGACCAGCGCAGAGAAGCTGAGGTCTAGTAGAGAAAACCTGGTGTCCGAGGGAGAGAAGCGAGGATCTAAGGGAGAGAGATTGCAATCAGGTGAAGAGAAGCTGAGGACCAGTGGAGAGGATTTGAATTCCACTGGAGATAAACTGGGGTCAAGTGGGGAGAAGTTCAGGACCAGTGGGGAGAAGCTGGTGACCAGTCAAGAGAAGCTGGGGGCCAGTCAATAAAATCTAGTGACCAGTCAGGAGAAGTTGGGGACCAGTCAGGAGAAGTTGGGGAGTTCAAGAATGGGGAGCATGAATGAAGAGAAAACTGAAAGAGATGACAAGGTGGAAATTCCTTTAGAAAGTGTGGAAGAAATGCTGAGCTTGAGGGGACAACAGAAGGAATGGAAGTTGAGGTGGGCTTGCGCGAAGTGAGGGATATTGCTGATGAGTTGTTTTCTATAGAAGGGAAAGAAGTTCTAGATGAAAGTACTACTGCATGAAATAGATGGACAGAAGTTGACAAAGGAAAGAGTAGCAGATGGGGAAGTACTGAACATCAAAAAGGAGAAATTAAGCCAAGTAGAGAATTACTGATCTTGAAGGGTAAAGAAAAAAGGAAAGGTGAGACTCTGAGCTGAACAGAAAGAGTGGTAAAAAGGAGCTACTGGGGATGAATGTGGAGAGTAGGACCAAAGAAGTAAAGGAGAATGGGGCATGGGGACATTTTGAGGACAAAGAAGACATTTAATAACAAGTTGATAGTTAGAAGAAAATTGGGTATTGGTTTCTTGAAGATGTGTATGATTGAAGAGCTTGTAAGGGAATGTTTGGAAAGTGTATTTAGGATGGGCGAGGATTGAATGTAACACAAGATTGGGTAGATGCGACCTAGGGGGTTGCATAGGGAGGAAACTGGAGAAAGTCACGAGGGTAAAGGATGTAGATGACGGGTTGTGGAGGAAGATACAGACTGATGGAGCCAAGCACATTTCTGAAAGTCTGTAATGAGGAAGAGTCTGTAATGAGGGGTGCCAAAGTGACAAAATCAAGAGAAGAGAAAAGAAAGCCAAAGGAAGAAAAGAAGAAAGAAGCCAAATCTCATGGTGATTCTATTTGTTGGCTTGTAGTTATTTCCTTCACTAGTTCTGTAGTCTCCTCTTCCACACAGCCAATGGTGTTGTCTGATGTGACAGGCCTTCGAAGAGCCTTCTATATCTGAACCAGACACAACTAGCATCCAGAATAACCGCTGGATTTCATTTTGGAGCACTTCACTGTGATTCCCCTGACTTCCACATCAGATTTAATTACTTACGCTTGATTGGAAGTTTTCTCCATTATTGATATCTGCATTCTGTCCTTTTTAAAAAAACTGTGGCAAAATATACCTAACTTAAAAATTCCCATTTTAGCCATTAAAAAAAAAATGTTTTATTGTTAATTATGTGATAGTTTATATGGGAGAACATTAGCTTTACATTCATCCTATCATATATAGTTTCATTGCCATGGTTACAATCCTCTCCATGCATCATCAACCAACCAAAGGGTATACCCTGCAAGCCTGGCCCCCTCTCCCCCGCCCTCAGGTCATCAGCACACAGCCCCTCTCCCTCTCTGGGTCTAGAATCCCCAGCCGCTCCATCTCCACGTCATCATCTCTACTTCCACCTCTGGTGTCACTGCTTCTCTGGGTAGGGTCCTGCTCTCCACTTTTCTCCCTTGATGGTCACAGGGACCTCCACTCCTGGACTGCAAAGTCAACCACTCCCCTCCTTTTGCCACAAAATGTCTACCTTTACATTTCCAACCCTCACAGTCAGTCCTGATAACAGTTATTCACTGTTGTGCCACATGAGTACTATCCCCATCTCCTGTCATCAGCCTGGCCCAGACAGATTAGATACTACTCAGTGGAGATTCTACCAGCCTCCATGTCCTCTGGATCTAGGCTCCCTCTTGAAAGTTTGTAAGCCAGTCACTTCTTGCCTTTGTAGCCCTCCACCCCATTTTGGGTAGCCAATGTCCAAGTTGCCCATCCCTGTCTACCCTGTGTATCGAGGGGATGTGAATGATGCTCGCTATAAAGAGTTGTTCCCTCTTTTGAGCTACTGCATCCATAGGTGTAGGTCAAGTTCATCAAATTGTATCAGATCTCTCTTTTTTTCCTCTTCTTTCTTCTTGAGTTCTGATCATCCAGCCATTTTAGCTAGGTCAAGTGTAGGTGTCCGTGTGTATATGCCTTCTCTTCTTATCAGCTGGACACTTCACTCTCCACTCTAGTCCCCTGTGGCTATGTCACTGACTCTGGGCTTGGTAATCCCCAGGTCTTGACACACTGCTGGCCAACCAGGTCTCTACCTGGGTTCACAGGAGGCTATTGAATGTGGTAGGGCTTAGCTCACAGCTTCATTGCTGTTTTTCCCTCACTTCCCCTTATCAGTGACCAACGTGGTCACCAGTCAGAGCACATGTCTGCTCGTGTATTCCCATTGAGTCTTAGTCTTGGGAGGGGGTGTGCCCTGAGGGGACCCGACCACTTGCCTTGATGTCTCCTGGGCAAGCAACTTGCTTGTTCTTGTAGTAGTCAGTTGGACTGCCATTATTGTTTTTGTATTTTTCATGTTCAACTATCACTATTCCTGAATTTTCCCATCACCCTTAACAGAAGCTCAGTGTCCCTTCAGTGTTGTATCTTCCTTTCTCCCTTGCTCCTGCCCACCACTCCTGGTTGTTGTTCTTGTTAGGTGCCATTGAGTTGGTACCGACTGCACAACAGAATGAAACACTGCCTGGTCTTGGGTCAACCTCAGAATCATTGCTATGTTTGAGCCCATTGCTGCTGCCACATTGCCAATCCATCTCATTGGGGGTCTTCCTTTTTTTCTCCGACCCTCCACATTACCAAACATGATATCCTTCTCCAGTGACTGGTCTTTCCTGACAGTATGAAGTATGAGAGACAAAGCCTGGTCATATTTTGCTTCCAAGGAGCACTCTGGCTATACTTCTTTCAACACAGTTTCTGTTGGTTCTTTTGGCAGTCCACGGTACTTTTAATATTCTCCTCCAACACCATAACTCAAATGCATCGATTCTTCTATGGTCTTCCTTATTCACCATCCAACTTTCACATGCATATGAGATTATCGAAAATACCATGGCTTGGGTCAGGCGCACCTTAATCCTCAAACCGGCGTCTTTGCTCTTAAACACTCAAAGAGGTCTTGTGCAGCAGATTTGCCTAATGCAAATCATTTGATTTCTTGACTGCTACTTCCATGAAGCTCTGGTAGCGTAGTGGTTACGAATTGGCCTGCGAACCTTAAGGCCAGCAGTTCGAAACTACCAGCTGTTCCGCGGGAGAAAGATAAGGCCTTCTCCTCCCGTAAAGATTTACAGCCTCGGAAACCCTGTACAGGGTCGCTATGGGTCGGAAACGACTCGACGGCACTTAACAACAACAACAACAACTTCCATGAAATATTGATGCGTGCTATGACAAGGAGCTCTGGTAGCACAGTAGTTACGAATTGGGCTGCTAATCTCATGGTTGGCAGTTCGAAACTACCAGCTGTTCCGCAGGAGAAAGATGAAGCTTTCTGCTCCCGTAAAGATTTACAGTCTCAGAAAACCTGTACAGGGTCACTATGAGTCGGAGCCGACTCCACAGCACATAACCACCACCAGTTCCATGAGTGTAGATCGTTGAGCTGAACAAAATGAAGTCTGTAACAACTTCAATCTTTTCTCCATTTATATGGATGTTATTTATTGGTCCAGTGATAATAATTTTGTTTTCTTTATGTTGTTGTTAAGCACCATGGAGTCGGTTCCGACTCATAGTGACCCTACACAGGGTTTCCAAGGCTGTAAATCTTTACGCGAGCAGAGCGCCTTATCTTTCTCCTGCAGAACCGCTGGTAATTTTGAACTGCCGACCCTGAGGTTAGCAGCCCGATTCATAACCACTATGCTACCAGAGCTCCTTTTTCTTTATGTTGAGGAGCAACCTATACTGAAGGCTGTGGTTTTTGACCTTCATTAGTAAGTTATTTTACGTCCTCTGCTTTCAGCAAGCAAGGTTGTATCATCTGCATATCTCAGGTTGTTAATGAGTCTTCCTCCAATCCTGATGCCGTGTTTTTCTTCATGTAATCCAGTTTCTTAGATTACTTGCTCAGCATACAGATTAAATAAGTATGGTGAAAGAATACAACCCTGGTGCACACCTTTCCTAATTTTAAACCATTCTCTGTTCCCTTATTCTGTTCGAACAGCTGCTTCTTAGTCTATGTACAGGTCCCTCATGAGCACAGTTAATTTTTTGG